CGACAGCTCACGCCTGTCATTCCAGCTACTCGGGAGGCTGAGGCGGTCGGATCACCTGAGGTCAGGGGTTCAAGACCAGCCTGGCCAACATGGCGAAACCCCATCTCTACTAAAAATATGAAAAGGAGCCAGGCATGGTGGCACACGCCTGTAATTCCAGCTGCTCTGGAGGCTGAGGCAGGATAATCAGTTGAGCCCGGTGGGGCAGAGGTTGCAGTGAGCTGAGATCACACCACTGCACTCCAGCCTGGGCAACGGAGTTAGACTCCATCTCAAACAAACAAAAACAAAGAGAAAGGAACAAAGAGTGTCGGGATTGGAAGGGAAGGGACGGCTGCAGGGTCTGTAGGCGATGTGGTGTCTCTGAAGCCCGTCCAAGGTCACCTGCAGACAGTGGCACAAAAGCAGCGAGGCGGCTTATCCAGATCAATGCGGGACCAACACCTGGACATACACAGGGCTTCCGGGCGGGCGCGGTGCTCACGCCTGTAATCCCAGCACTGTGGGAGGCCGAGGCAGGAGGATCGATGGAGCCAAAGCGGTCAGGACCAGCCTGGGCAACATAGCGAGAGTCTATCTCTAGAAAACGATTTTTTAAGCCATGCAGAGCCTGGGCAACATAGCAAGACCCCATCTTTACAAAAAATTCGAAAATCAGCCAGGTGTGGTGGTGTGCACCTGTAGTCCCAGCTACTCAGGAGGCTGAGGCAGGAGAATCACTTCAACCCAAGAGGCGGAGGCTGCCGTGAGCCGAGATCGTGCCACTGCACTACAGCCCAGGAGACAGTACAAGACTCCGTCTCAAACAAAGGAACGAACAAACAAAAAAGATCAAATTCCTTCTCTTAAATTCCCTTTTGCTTAAACAGGGAGTCTGGTTCCTGCTTCCCGCTGAGCCCTGCTCAACGCAGGTGGAGAACAGGCAGCTCCCAGAGGGAACAGAGGGTGCCTGAGCCCATGAGTGGCCTGAGGGATGCGACTGGAATCTCATTCCTTATTCAGGTCCCTAGCTTTTTTGGTTTTTTTTGACAGGGTCTTGCTCTGTCACCCAGGCTGGAAGGCAGTGGTGTGATCAAGCTCACTGCTCAACCTCCTGAGTTCAAGCGATCCTCCTGCCTCAGCCTCTGGAGTGGCCGGGACTACAGGCGTGCGCCACCACACCCGGCTAATTTTGTTGACTTTTTGTAGAGATGGAGTCTCACTTTGTTGCCCAGGCTGGTCTTGAACTCCTGAGCTCAAGTGATCCTCCTGCCTCAGCCTCCCAAAGTGCTGGGTTGTAGGTGTGAGCCACTGAGCCTGGCCCCCAACAATTAGTGTTTCTGACATCTTTCCACTCCATCTCATTTTTTGTCCTATTTCTTGAGATGGAGTCTTGCTCTGTTGCCCAGGCTGCAGTACAACAGGCCATCTCGGTTCACCTCCACCTCCACGCGTGAGGGTCAAGCAATTCTCCTGTCAGCCTCCCGAGTAGCTGGGATTACAGGCGTGCACCACCACACCGTTAATTTTTGTATTTTTAGTAGAGACGGGGTTTTGCCATGTTGGCCAGGCTGGTCTTGAACTCCTGACTTCAAGTGATCCACCCACCTCAGCCTCCTACGGTGCTGGGATGACAGGCGTGAGCCATGGTGCCGGGCCCGTGCCCATCTCTTGACACCTGTATCAGTGTCCTGGGGCTGCCACACAAAGGGCTGCAAACTGAGGGGAGAATTTTATTCTCCTTTGGTCCCAGAGGAGTCAGCAGGGCTGCTTGCTTTGCAGGCTTGGAGGGAGGGGCTGCTCCGTGCCTGCTTCCTGATCCCCAGAGGTTCATACTCACACGCCCACACGTACATGCACAATCACACATGCACACATGCACACACTCATACTCACACAGATGCACACACACACACTCACACACATGCACACACATACACACACGCTCACACGTACACGCACACACACGCACACACTCACACACATGCACACACACGCTCACACATACACTCACACACATGCACACATGCACATACTCATACACAGATGCACACACACACGTGCACACACCCTCACACATACATGCTCATACATGCACACATGCACACTCATACTCACACACATGCACACACATACACACATACACACACTCATACACACATGCACACACTCATACACACATGCACACATCACACTCATACACATGCACACACTTATACTCACACACATGCACACACGCACATGCACACATGCTCACACTCACTCATCCGGCATTGCCAGCAGTCTTTGGCTTGCGGCCACATCACTGCCATCCCTGCCTGTCTTCCCTGCCCCTCTAGGTCTCAACCCCCTCCTCCTTTCTCCTATAAGGACTCTTGTCCTTGGATTGAGGCCCACCCTAATCCCAGGATGCTCTCACCTTCTCATCCTTAATCACATCTGCCAAAGCCCTATTTTCCAACAAATTCACATTCCCAGGTCCTGGGGCTCACGCTGAACGGATCTTTTCGGGGAAAGCAGTTTGACTCACCATGGCACCCTACTCCTTCCCCTGCATGCATTTTCCTCCTTCACATGCACTTTCTGTAGGAGCCTCCCCGTGCAGACACAGCACTGGGCAACTTCGAGAACCCTCCCCATAGAACAGCGCCTGACTTTGGTGGACCTCACACCTGATTCCAAGTATAAAGCACTGAATAGAAAATAAAAGGAAAGCGTCACCTGCATCCTCCAAGTGAGACTCCGACGTTCCTGGCTCTGCTCAGGGCAAGCTTGGCTCACCCAACCTGGACTGGCCTGGGGCCCGACGGCTCCTCGGCCTCTCCCACCCACCCCCGAGCAGCCTGGGACCCCTGCCTGCAGGCTCCGGGCCGCCCAGGAGGCCCTGGCCACGCCGCCCCACAGCCCTCGACTAGCAGCGCTTCACGGATCTTGGCTGGTGCCGAGTCTGCCTTACCAGGGCCTCCTGGACTCTGCCTCCTGGCAGCTGGGTGGGGGCCTGGGAGGGTCGTGCACCCATGACGCAGCTGCCACGTTCTCCTGGTGTCCTAGGCCTGGAGAGGAATCAACAAGAAAGCCCCAGGCTAAGAAGCCATCCTCCCTTCTCCTCGGCCCTCTGCGTCTAGACAAGGAGCCCAGGTGGTCCAGATCCGAGCCTCTCTCCCATCAGCCTGTCCTGGCCTCACCTGGTCAGCCTCCCCGGCCTCCTGTTCTCCAGCTGCTCTCTCATCTCCTCTTCAGACGGAGCTGCTTGCTCCACGGGCCTGTGCAGCAGCTTGAAGTGGGCGTGGGCCAACCCCCCGAGAGTGAGGGGTGCAGCTGCTCCCCAGGCACAGAGCCAGAGGTCCTGGGCCATGACGGGCAGAACGCGGCCAGGAGCGAGGGGCAGGGGCGGCCGGGAGCCCATCCTGGGCAGCCTGGGGCTTCTCTCCTCCCCATGTGGGCAGGCCCAGGGCTGGGCGTGCAGGTGGAAGTCTGGGTGCAGAGGATTTCGCAGCTGCAGGCCAGCCTCACGGACACCCTCCCTCAGCCTCCAGGGATCCTGAGGCTTCGCCAGGAAGCTTCTAGAAGCATGGAGAGGGCTGGACCTGCGCCAGCTGGAGGACATGTGGAATACACACACACTCATGCAAATCCGTGCTAAAACCATGCACCCCACATGAACCCACACACTCATACACATGGAAACACACACACGCACACACTCATACACGCACACATGCTCACACACACACACTCATACACACACACTCACACATGCACACACGCTCACACATGCACAATCACTCATGCTTACACACATGCACACAGACTCACTCATGCATGTACTCAGTCACACATGTACAATCACACACATGCACAATCACTCATGCTTACACACATGCACACACACGAATGTACACACAGCCACACATCTACAAATCACATACCCATGCACACACTCATACATGCATGCACCCACACAGGGATGCACACACACACACA